CGCCGCGCGGGCTGCTCACCTCCGCGTTGCCGCAGACGCAGCCCGACCGGTCGGCGCAGGGCTGGGAGCCCAGGCTCAGCGAGCCCGGCCCGTGGAAGCGCAGACGACCCTCGCGGGACGCCAGGAAGGCCGCCAGGTCCCTGTCGCGCGTGAACGTCTGCGGGAGGGCACGTGGGTCTCCCTCGGGCCGGCCCGACGCGGAGACCCCGGGTGTTGAGGACCTCGCATGCGGACGGGGGTGGACTCGAACCCCAGCCCTGCTCACCTGACCCAGGGCTGAAAGGCTGCGGATGCGCGCGGGGCTGGCGCCCGGGCCGAGCTCCACGCGGAAGGAGGCATTGGTTGGGAAGAAGACGTCGTCGTCGCTGCAGGGCACGCGCTCGGCGTCCACAGAGAAGAGGCCTTGCGCCTCGTTCCGGGTGCGCCACAGGTGCGGGTCCCACCACGAGAAGCGGTCCGGATTGCGGAAGATCGCGGGGCCCCCTGCCGGCGATGTCCCAGTCCCTGAGGCCCCGCCCCCGAGCGGCCGAGACCACGCCCACGGGACTGCCAGGCCCCGCCCCGAGCGGCCGAGACCTGCCCCCGCGCCTCACCGGCGTTACAGTTGGGGCGCGGGCCATCTCCCGCCACACGGAATCCCGCTCCCGATGCCAGAACCAGCTCTCCATCCAGCGGCAGGAGCTGCGGGAGACGCGGACTGAGGCGTGCGGTGCCCCGGGCCCTCTCCAGCCGGCGGAACCTTCAGTCCGGGCAGGGGGTGCGGGAGGCCGCGCTGCTGGGGCGGAGTCCCGGCCCGCGCCGCTGCCGCGGTCGCTGGGGCCGAGGTGAATTCCGTCCGCGCGTGAACCGTCGACGGGACACACGCAGCCCCTTTTGAGTTTCCCAGGATCTTAAATGCAAGCACCGTTCTCGGGCCCGACACCCGGGTCCGCGTGTGCCCGGCGGCCGCTCTTCCCGGGGTCGTCCTCGGGTCTCCTCAGAGCCTTCGGCGCGTGGAGACCGTGCGGGATGGGGAAGGCCCGGCACCCCCGTCCCGCCATCCCCGGGGACTCTAGCAGGCAGTGGGAAGCGGCCCGGCGCCCGTCTGCGGCGGGGACCGGCAGAAGGCCGCGCGGGGGGCGCGGCGGGCGGAGCACGTGCGCGCTTCCCCGCGGCGCCGCCCCGCGCCCCAGCCCCCCGCATCCCGGGGACCCCAGCCCCCGCGCCCCAGACCCTACCACGTCGGAGATGGCGTGATTCTCGCGCACCAGAACGGTCACCACCTGCGGGAGACGCGGGTCAGCGCGGAGGGGCCGACGCCCCGGCCCCGCAGCGCCGACCCTGGCGGGGACGCGGGCACCTTGTCCGCGGGGAACTGGACGGCGGCGCCCGCGCACGGGGTCCGGTTCTGGTTCCAGTTGGCGGCGGTCTCGAAGCCGGTGTTGGGGACCCAGACTTTGTCGGCGGCCCGGGTGAGCGCTGGAGAAAGGGCGCCTGAGAGCGGCCCGGGAGGCGGCCCAGCCCTGCCCGGGCCTCCGCCTTCCCGGACAGGCCGCCTC